ATTAGGCTTTTAAAATTTTATACATATAGTTCAAAAACAGGGATTCTTAGCCTGAATTCTTCCAAACTATATGCTAAAAATTGTGCATTTAAATTTTTATTAAGGAAGAGTTTAAAATTGTAATCCAGTTTGAAAGTTAAATGTGGCCCAGAAGATTAACCATTACTGCTTTCCAGTAGAATAAGCCTAAGGGACCCTAAATAACTTGGTCTTTATTCATTCAGCTAATTGACAAAATATTTGTTGAGTACTACTAAATGCCTGACACAGTAATAAGTGCTGGGAAATCAGCAGGAAACATGGAAGCTTGATCTCTGATCTCAGGGTGCCTCTAGTCCAGTTGGGATGAGGGTAGACAGTAAAAATCAAATGTGAAATTATCTGATGATAACATATTACAATAAAAAGTGATGCAACAGAAAGTGAGTGAGATTAGGTGATCAGAGAAGACCTCTCTGATGGAGTGACATCTTAACTAGGCCAAGCAAGTTCTGAGGAAAGAACATTCTAGAGAGGGAATAGCTCTATAGAATATACAGATGCTGAGGGAGATAGCTTGTTATAATCCATAGCTCTTCTGGAAGACATGAATGGTAGATCCACATTTTCAATAGTTTAGTCTTTAAACATCTGCATGATCTTGTCCTTATTTTCATTTTATTTAAGTTACATTTATTAATGTGAGGGAAAGATAATTCTCAGAAAACAATATGAATGTATTGCTATACACTGAATTCATTCAATAAATATTTGGGTCTACCATCTTAAAGGCACCTTGGGAGATGCCCTCAAGGTGCTTAGCAGAGACTAAATAAAAAATAACTTCCATGCATGTAAACCATAATGTACCTTAATCCAGTCTTGTATTGTTCTGCATCATAGGTTTATGAGCTAAGTAAATTCTAGTGTCCAGATCCCTTAATGCAGTTCAAAACTCAAAGCTCTTTAGAAAGGCACCAATCACCCTGTTAAAGTTGATGGATGAGTAAGAGAAAGAAACACATAATGAAAATTGGAGCTAAAAATTCTTTGCAATAGGAACATTTTACTCTCTGGCTTGAAAAATGCTCTAGTCAGGTCTGGCTGTATCAATCAATAAATTAAGATGTGCCTAAAGATCATAAATAGCTTCCACATTATTAGATGTTCACTTTCCTAAACTAATTCTTTATGAATATGTTAAGGCAATAATAGACCAATATGATAATTATGATGCAAAGGTCACAGAATTCTATGTGGTGTTTACTAGGCATCTCATTGAGGACTCTATACACAGAGCTTTTCTTAAAATATATACATATATATGTATATATATATAGTTGTAGATGGACACAAGACCTTAATTTAGTATATTTTTTTGTGGTTCTGAGGGTTGAACCCAGTGCCTCACACAGGTAAGCTCTCTACCGCTGAGCTACAGCCCCAGCCCCATATGCACAGAGCTTTTGATGGAACTATTATTAGTTTTATTTTACAGATATGGAGAAACTAAGGTTTAGAGAAGCCTAATGACTGGCCTGAGTCACAAGGCTCCTTAGAAGAACCATCAGCAATTGGAACCTTAGGCAGTGTGATTCCAAGAGAGCGTCTCTAGTATTGTTGTCCAGCCCTCTCGGAGCCTGGTTTCGTTGTGTATTATCTCTGATAAATTCTTCCCCTGCTCGCTGATTAAAAGGCTCCAGGGAAATAATAATCATGTGCCAGTTAATTTAAATATTACCCTAAACAAAACAAATTTGATGGCAAATAACTAGGCATAACACATGATTTTTTTTTTTTAAGTTTATTTGACTTTGGATCAGACTCAATACTATTTCCTTTTAGGAGAAAAAATGAAGAATTAAATGTACGTATTTTAAATTTCTTGGTTAAAAGTACAAACATTATTCTGCTAATTTGTTTCTGCCTTCATTGCTTGATAATGACATTTCAACTTGGAAAACGGAGATTTTAAAGGTACAAAAAAAATCCAAGTTTAGATATCGAGAAATAATTTCTCCCCTTTTCTTTCAGTCCTCTAAAACTGTTCATGCAGGCTGCTGGGAGATGAATCCCTCTTGAATTATAATAGGAGCAGTAGCATATTATGCACTTAGGTACCATTAATTGAATATTTGTGTAGTGTCATTCATTGCCGAGCACCATACAATTTGATTTTATCCTCACAATGATACTTTGAGTACCTCCTATTATTATTCCTAGTTCATAGCTTAGGAGATGGGGAACCACAGAAGTTGCTCACCTGTTCAAGTCCTCCCAGCTCATAAATGTAGGGGGTCGGTTCCAGGCTTAGTGACTCTGGAGGTCAGGCTCCCTACAATTTCCCTGCATTATTTCAATTTGATCATATTTTCTTCCCTGACACATCAATGAGGACACTCTATTTTCCAACCTGGATAGTCTAAACCCTTTAGAATTTAAGTCTGTCAACCATCTGGACTTTCTTTTTAACCTGCCCACGCCAATTTCTCAGTATTCTGTACTAAATACTACCCTCCAGGCCTATGAGAACCTGCCTCCTCTCAAGGCTTCAGATGTCCTTCCACCCACAATCCAGCTAAAGTCTACAGTTTTTAAAGGACCAGTTCAAATTCCACTTTTCAAGTCACTTTCCAGACCACCCCATCCTAGAGTAAGTAACTGAAGAACTGCATCTGTTGCCTACCACAGCACACACCCATGGTGTCTCCCAGTGCTTCAGCAGCCTGGAACCCCGGGGAGATTAGGAGAGTTGGGTTGGAATGTGCTATTGAGCAATTTTCTCAGGAGCATGTCCAAAGCCTTTATTAGTTTCTTAAAGCTTAACAACCACTCAGCACCCATTAGTCTGGAAACTAATGATATTAAATGCTAATATTCCCTGAGTAGAGTTATAAGAGTTAGCAAATAAAAATATTATATGGGACATATGTATTCCAATGCATGACTAGTGTATTTAAATTGAAATTTAACTGGTATTTTTTACTTGATCTGCAAATTTGTACCTGAATGTTTCCTGAATATTAGTCTTATCTCTCAACTATGCTGAATGTAAACATCTGAAGGGTAAGGGAATTCACTGTTACCTTAGAGAACTCAACACTCAACTCTTATTGCTAATATTGATTTGTTTTTGTGATCCAACAGAAACATTTTGGAACATTCTTCATTTGGGGTCAACTATTGATTCGAATAGCTATATTGTAATTTTATATGGTTTTTGCTACAAGGAAACAGATGCCCTTTATATCTACTAAACCAAATTTGATCATCTCTGTTATTTGCTAGTTTCAGACGTATTCAACTCCTCTCCATATATCTTTTTTTTTTTTAAAGAATCCTCTGAGGTCATACCCAAAATATTATTAGATTTCAAAGTGAGCTCTTCATACCCTTTGATTGAGTACTGATCACCAAAGGAGTGTGTTAAAAATACAACTGTCTGGGTGCAATTCCAGACCTATTAATTCAGAACTGTGCAGAACGGCTCCAAGCAATCTAGGTTTTTAATACTCCTTCCAGATGACTGCTATACTCTCTAAACTTCAAGGACTACTTGTTTATGAATGTACTACTCTAGAAAAAATTGTTCTCTAAGTTAGAGAGGAAAAGTTATCATTTTAGTCCTTAAAGATAAACCACCAACATTTTGGAGTTCAATGCTGAACACTACGTAAATTTTCCATTTGGGGCTTACAAGCATTTAAAGAAATTGGTAAACAAGCATTTAAAGAAATCTCCAAGTTTTACCTCTGGATAGAAGGAACTCTGGTCTGGAAGCTAGAAGGCTTGGGTTCTCTACTTTACAGTCTCTATATTTGGGAGCTTCGGTTTCCTCATCAATAAAACAGTGGCTTATACCATTAGCTAATCTTAAAGAAAAAAAGTATCTATCTTCTAGCACCAAGTTTCTATTACCATTCTGAGGTTCAGTTTCCACTGCTGTAAAATATGGGGTTTGGCCAACATGCAGTCTGCCCATTTGTCCTGTGTGTCTGCGGTAGCCCAGAGTCTCCATCACTATACTGGGACCTCCATTCATAATTTAGGCTTACTCTTACAGTGTAAGATCAATGATGGTTCATTTAGATTATTACAAGGAAGAGATAAAACATTGACCATTTGTACATATCCTTTCTAAGAGATAATTATTCATTCAAATATGTTTATTGATCAACAACTTTGTGTAATTTGTCACCATGCTGGGCCCTGGGAATACAAATAATGACACAAGTCAGAAACAAAGAGAGGTGACTTATGCAATCTACATTCTGATGGGGGAGAAGATAATAGAACCAACCATGTATAAACTGAGTAAATAAATAACTCAATAATGAGATAATAAAATAAGTAAATAAATTAAAAAATTTTAAAAATAAAGTAAAGAAAATAATTTCTGTTTGTAATTGGTGCTGTGAGGGATTACTGAGGCCTGAAACACATAATAACCAAAGGAAAAAGAGATCAACAGGGGCCAGGTAGGGGGATGGAGAAAGGGGCAGAACAGGGGAGAACATATTTTAGAATCCTGTGGGAGGAATAGCTTATGTACTTGGCCACCAAAATTCTGGAACAGTTCCTTCTATATCTGAGAGATAATTTAATCTAAAACTAGATAAAGGGAACCCGAGGCCCATAGGGTTTAAGAAACTCATTAGAGGTCAGACAGTCAGTAGTTTGTTAATGGAGAACTCATCTACATGGCAGATCAGAATGTGAACTTTTCTTAGAGATTGCAATCCAGTAGGAAACACGAGGCTGCCTTGGTTCAATCCCAAGTTTTTTACTCATAAATCGTTGATCTTTGGTTGGAAGGTCTTCTTTAAGCCTCAGTTTCCTTTTGTGAAACAGAGACAATGACTACTGTGTCAGATTGTGACTTGGTTTTAGAGAGATAGTGTGGCACAGTACCTGGTATACCATAGCTGCCCAATAAATGCAAGCTCTTTATTTTTCACCTAGTGTACTTTCACCCATGCCAAACTGTTAGAAAGTCCAAAGGACCGCAGAGGTTAAGTTACCTGAGTAAAGGAGGAGTGATGGCAGAGAGAAAGTTCTGGAACACTGGGCTGGGGCTCAGCACCTATCCATATGAGAAATCTGAGTGGAGGAAATGAGAAGAAAAAACCACTGAAGTGGGGCCATGTCAAGGGAAACATCCTCAACTTCATAGTTTTACACAGCTTAATCTGTGAATCCAGAGTAGTCTTCATAAAACAGAAAGATGACTAGTATCAATATTTATATTCAACATCACCATATAATAAACAGGTTTTGCTCTCGGATACCAGTAAACAGAAGAATGACACACTTTATTATTAAAAATGTGCTAAGAGAAAAATGTTATGTTAACATGTCACTCATTCGACTGGGAACAAGTTAATTATCTCAGAATATTAAAATAATAGCTGGTATTAAGGATGCTTAAATCAAGCCCATGCTATTGCAAGAATAAATAATTTATGCAAGTGATTGTGAAGCATTTTTTTCACTGTCTATGAACGAAACCACAAAATGAACTTCAGCCTTGAAATACCAAGCAGCATATTTCATGGATTAAAACGGACAACTATTAGGTTGTCCCACAAACCTGCCTGCACTCCCTATAGGCTTACTTATCCCAAATGTTAGGGGATGTTAATGGTTCAGGCACACATGAATCAAGAATGAATATTTCTTGGTTTTAGAAGTTCATTGGTCCCTTTCCCCCCAACCATAAGGTAATTGCCATTCCTTATATAGCTTTTTGAAATGCTGCTTACTTTATGATTCTCTGCCGATGCTGCCTTATGGGAGAAATTTTCTTTCAAAGTTTCAGAGGCTGTGAATTGAACTCATTATTTTACTCCAAACTCATTGTTTAATTGACAGGAAACATGCATCTAAATCATCTTGTATGCATGGCAGAAGCAGCTACATAAATTTAACAATGAGTGGATTATTACTATTTAGCATATTCATGAAATTTTAGATTCAGGAAGCATTTACAAATCTTTTATTAGTTAATCCCTACACTTCTGAATGAGTCTGACAGGTGGCAAACAATGCTTGAGGTCTGAAAGTAACAATATATGAAAACTTTAATGGGGGGAGGAACTACACCATTTTTCCTTGCTCCTAAATGCATCTACTTTTTTTCTTCTCACCAGAGACTAATGCTAGAGGCCCCGGAAGGAAGACAGGCTGTGCATAACTGAATCACCAGTAATGAAAAAGGAACATACTGGGATCTGTCTCTGTCAGATAGGCAAGACCCACACAAACACCTGCAATAATACGACCTGAGAAGCAGGTGAAAAAACCCACACCAAAGCGGTCGATAATCCTTGAAACTGTGCAATAAACTTAGTTTTACATTTGAACAACGTCACACCTGCTGGACAAATTAATGAGTGGCATCAGCCACTATTAATTCTCTTAAATGTATACATGTATAGTGAAAAATAAACCCAAATTCAAATTAAGAGAGTTTGTTTCTCTCTCTCTGAAAACTCACAAGTTTAAACATCTAAGTTTCCTTGAAGAGCAACTTCGAAGTTGTTATGAGTCCTGCAATCTACCTCTTCTCCAGACACCAGAAGGTGTTGCAGAGCAGGGTTAAGAAAGCCCTAAAGAATCAAAGTCTAACTCCTAACCCAAACCTTTTTACAGCCCGGGGCTTTCAGAACTAACAAACCAAGGCAAAGCAACCCCGCATCACCTGAGGGCCGACGTGAGGAGCCGCAGATGCTGAGCCTACTTTCAGAAGACCCCAGTACGGACACGTCCTGCCCAGATTCTTATCTCTCCCGAGTGACAGTGACTTTATCCCTCTAATCCCTCCGGCCACCCGCCTCCGCCTGCGGGTCCTGTGCGTGCGTGCGTGCGTCCCAGTGTCTCTGTGGGTCTGTGTTGGGGGACGGCTGGGCAGAAGGGTTCAGGAACCACCCAGAGGATTCTGGAAACAAGCCCCTCTGCGGCTCTGTGCTTGGCTCAGGCCAGCTGGGCGGCTGTCAGGAGGTCAGCAGGAGGAATCCAGGTTTCAAGGTGCAAAGGGACGTGTCTGCGGCTGTGCGGAGGGGTGGGCGGAGACCCTCCATAGCCACGCCCACCCGCCGGGCGCCGTCCCGCCCCGCCCCGCCCCACGCCGCACCCGCGCTACCTGGGGACGCTGGAGGCACCGGGCGGCGGCTCTCTCGCTGCCGGGCCTCGGAGGCTGGAGCGCGGGCTTTGTAAAGCCGCGGCCGAGCGGCCGCCCCCCCCCCCGCCCCGCGGCGCCGGGCCTCCCCCCCCCCGCCCCCCCCGGGGGCCGCCGCTGCTCTGCGGGCACCCGGGCTGCGGGTCCCTCTCCATGCTGGCTGCCTGCGGGGAGTCTTCTGGGAGCGGCCCGGGAGTTCGAGTAGGTGCCGGGCACCCAGGCCCATCTCCCGGTCCCCTGGGAGCGGTCACCTCCACGAGTCCAGGTCCCGTCCCCCCCAGCATCCCTCTCCCTTCGGCAGCCTTGGGACTAGGCCCCCTTGGGCGCAAGGTAACTGTGACTCGGCACAGGGCCCCAGGGTCCCCCGCCCCCCACCCAGTGAACGCGTCCCTAAGACCTACCTCTGGAACTCACTGAGGGCGTCGGGCGAGGGCAGCTCCTTCTACCAGTGGAGATCAAGTCTGGGGAAAGTTTCAGGCGGTGTCAAGGGTCAGCCATCTCTAGGGGCATTCTCTAGTCAAGAGATGGAAACTAAAGAGATTCCATCTGCAGGCTCTGCTGACATCACAAACCACACATCACTTGGTGTCATCTTGTGTAGTTACACAAGGACTCCCCATCCTTACTGCAGCCGTGTGCGTGTTCGCCTTTCAAAGCCTCAGCCTACTGACATTTCAGTGGAAGGGGTTAAGGAACATAATTTTAAGTAAAAAAAAAAAAAAAAAAAAAAA